AAGTTTGAAAAATTATGAAATAATAATAAAAAATATTAAATTTTCTTACATGGAATTTACACGTCATTAAAATTAAAAAAATCCAGTGATTTGCTGGCAAGTTAATGTGCCATTTGTCATTTAACTGACGGAAGGACCATTTTGGTACCGAAAATGAAAGTCTGAGGATAATTTTGGTACTTTTTAAAGTTGTGGGACAATTTTGGTATCAAAGTGAAAAGTTGAGGGACCAAAATGGTACTTAAACCTAAAATTTATTATAGTATTCATGTTGTTGTGTGCGAGGTTAAGGGTACCTGCGAAAGCAATAGTGTTCAGGTTGCTTTTCTTATGTAGGTTAGGTGGCAATCAAATAAGGTGGTACTACATCTCTGGAAGGGAAAAGATGATTCTTTTTAAGAATGTGAGAAATAAGGTAACCAGGTGGAAAAGGCGGTTTATCTTTGTCCGTGATACACGAATGGAGAGGATGAGTCACAAGCTCATTGCTCATATTTTTGAGTGGCTTATACCTCAAACATACATGAATTACCCTGAACTGGGGCCTCATGATGTGGATTTGAAGAATAGATTGCTAGACCATGTGAAAGAAGTAGGGTTGGTGGACTTAGAAAATCTAGTTACCTCGAAGCAATTAGATGTGTTTGGGTTTGTGGACATTGCAAACTTGTATATTGAAGATACATTTCTTTTGTATAAATGAAACTTTACCCATGTTGAGTCTTATTGTGCTCGTTTATGTAGGAGAAATGAGTAGCATGCTTGAGAGGCAGTGCGATTAAGCGCAAAGGTCAAGGAACAAGTGTGAGGAGGCCGGCTCGCGATGGCACACGAGGTTTGATGAGCGACCAACGGCGCCATCTCGTAGGTCGTCACATCAAGAGCGAGGTTCCAACTCAATGACGAGGGCTCAAGTCGATCTGAGAGTTGAGGCTCTGCCTTTAGAACCCCAAAGGCGCACTCGAGAAGACTCAAATGCTGAGGATGACATGTCGCTCATTCGGCAGAGAACAAGCACTAAACCTCAGCCCATTCAACCAAGTGCAAGTGGTTCATCTAACGTGCCTCCTCTTCCATTGCGTGACAGTGGTGTATCTAGGTTTGCACTTACGTCGGCATCAAGTCCATGAATTACATACCCTAAAGGGTTCAGTTATACGAAGCCAGATTGTCACATTGCGATGGCACAGGGTATGCATAACTTTATTCCTCCTCTAGATCGACAGCGTGCTAAGAGCTATGTGCAGCAGAACGGTGGCCGCACTGCCATGTTAAAATTGATGGATGTAAGTGTATTTATTAGGAGTTCATGTTAAAATGTCTTTTACATTTTATGTTGAGAAAATAACAGTATGAGTGTAATGGTAGGCTTTTAGTTATGCAGTCGCTCTATTTAAGTACGATAAGGGGGCACGAGGGCAAACTTGCAAGCTCGCTGAGAACTACAAACAATTAACCTTTGAGAAAGTGAGCCTAGATGATGAGGTAAACCACTTGCAGAGCTTAGAGATGGCTAACAGGGCTGCGTCAGCAAAAAGCAAAGCTGACGAGCTGGCCAATAAGAACAACGAGTTGAAAGAGGAGCTGGAGGAGGCGCAAGCTGAAAAGGAGAGTGGGATTCTGGCTACTAAGGAGAAGGCTCTGCATGCTGAGGAACGTGCTAGGAAGGCGGAAGCTGAAAAAGGCAGCATTATGAACAAGCTGAGGGACTTCAGGGCTCGAGTGGCTGAGATAAATCAAAACGTTGCCTGTAATGAGCAAGCTCTGAATTAGATAAAGATATCTTATCAACGTTCCATTAGTATAGCCCGAGCACAAGGGGCGAAATGGCTACTCAGCTCAAAAACGTTCCAAGATGCTGTGGCCATTGTGTCTATGAACACCACAACATAGATTTATGACAATATTCGTGAAAAGGTGTTACCGCATCATCCTGACTTCCTCATTGGCGAGTTGACATTTGTGGAGGGAGAGGAGATTGACAAACATGGGAAAAGTTGGCTACCTTCCTCTGATACAACTATTCGCCTCAAATGGGAGTTGGACGAAGAAGGGGTGGCAGTGTGGCCACCCACTATCTCGGAAGAGAGGGGACTCTTTGCCAAGTTTTGATGCCTGGGTAGTCGAAATGGCCATTGTAGAGGCTGAACCCTCCAGCACCCCGCCGCTTTCCCAGGCCATTCCTTCTCTAGCTTGGCCTGCTGCCTTAACATCTTTGCCGTCTATGCACCTTATTGATGACTAGGAAGTAGATTTATTTTATTTTGATTTTTCCTTTTGTATTTTGGATTTACATTGACTATTGTTCATTTTAATTGAAAACTGTTGTATCTTGGTTTACTCTTGAAATGGAACAAAGGAACTGTTTCTATGAAATTCATTTCTCTGTAATTAAGTAAATGCGTACATTTGGCAAATCTAGCGTTAACTATAAAATTTCTAAGATTATGAGCCTGTTTGGTACAGCGGTTAAAATTCAACAGATAGCGGATAACGGGTAACAGATAATGTATAGTGGTAGCGGGTAACAGGTGGCGGTTAGCGGATAGCGGATGGCAGATAGCGGAAGTAGGTAGCAGATGGTAAATAGCGGATTCGATAAATATAACTGTTTGGCTATACAATAGTTAGCGGTTGTTGTTTAACATTAAATGACTAATAATGACATGTTTAAAAACAAATAAGTGTATTTTTTAAAATATTTTTATTTTTTATTATTAAAATTATTAATTTTATAAAAATAAAAATAATAAAATAAATAAATAAAATTAATTATAATAATGTAATTATACCCTCATTTTTATTTTTTTTTAAATTATATTATTTTTAAATAAAAAATTAATCATTTTGTCTAATTAACAAATTTTATTTTTTAAGATAATATATTTTTTAATTATAAATTAATGTAAAAAAAAAATATTATAATCACTTAATATTATTAAAAGTAAAAAAACAAAATTAAATTTATTAGATAATTATTAATTAAAAAATGTGACCACAAACTAAAAAATTAAAATAGATAAATTTGTTAATAAAATTAAAAAATTTTAATTCGTTAGCAGTTTGGTATAAAAAGTTACATAAACTAACTTTTTCAATCCACTAGCGATTTAGACCCTAACCGCTATCCGCTAATCTCAAACCACTAAATAAAAATTTTACCAAACACTTTAGTTGTAGCGGTTTCAAAGTATATAAATTTACCAAACACTTATATTTAACGGTTTAGGTAAAACCGCTAACCGTTACCCCAAAATTGCTATACCAAACGGAGTCTATGTACATTCCAAGTAAATGGCAGTTGACGACCTTGCGAATCTGCTAACAGATAGGATTTAAGGCGTTTAATAGCAACAACCATGTAAGGACCCTCCTAGTTAGGAGCGAGCTTGCCCTTGTGTGAGTAAATATTAGTGAGCCCAGCCTTGCATAAAACTAAGTCACCGACTTGAAACTGATGAGCACACACCCTCTTACTGTAAAACTTAACGACTCGAGCTTGATAAGCAACGCTTTTTATTTGTGTTGATTCCCTTGTTTTTGCAAGAAAGTCAATGTTTTCTTTTAATAGCTACTCGTTAGTATGTTCATTGTAGCGAACAACTCTCCAGCCCAGCGCACCTATTTCCATGGGGATGACCGCTTCCGTTCCAAATGATAGAGAGAACGGGGTCTTGCTTGTGGCCGAGCTAGGTGTGGTGCAGCACAACCATAACACTTTGTTGAGCTCATTAACCCAATTTTTTTGTGCAGCTAAGACATGTGTTTTAAGGCCACACAAGACAATCTTATTAAAGGATTCCACTTGGCCGTTTGCCTGTAGCATGTAAACAGACGTAAGAATGAGCTCAATTCTATAATCCTCATAAAATGACATGAGTGTTGCAGTTTGAAATTGGGGGCCGTTGTTTGCAATAATGTGTTTGTTGTACCTATGATTTTGATGATTACAAAACACATTTGAGTGACTAATTGATTTATTTAAGTGTGTAGTAAAATTGCCAATATACTGCAAAGTAAGCAAAATGAGATTGCATTAAAAAGGGCTTAAAGGGTAAAAATATGCAAAGAGCCGGCTTAAGAAAATTGCAGCCGGCTTTGGGAAGCAAAAATGCAGAGAGTCGGCTACAGATTTTGTTGAGTAGGCTCTACAGGCTAGAAATTCAACTGCTGTTTTGGCGCGCGCGAAAAATGGAAGCAGAGCCGGCTCCCACTTTGTAGCCGGCTGTGAGGGTGCATTTAATGCATAACGGTCGAGTTATTTGAAGATTATTTAATATGTTTAAAGTTGGAATCCTAAAGCCGGCTCTAGGCTCTGTAGCCGGTTGTGGAAGAAAGTAGAATGTGCAGGAAACACGCAAAGCCAGCTGCAGAAATGGTGAGCCGACTGTATAGAGCCGGCTCTAGGAAGTTAAGCTGGCTTTCCTGACAATCCTACAACTCGAGCTTTGTGTCCTGCAGAGCATTAAATGACCTCCAACGGCTATTTTCGACTATGGGGTTATAAATATGGTTGGTAGAAGATTTGAAGGAGGTTTAGAGAGCATTGTATTGAATATCTTTACCTACCAACTTGTGCTTTAACTTGATATTTTGATCTTTGAGAGATCTTTATTTGTAATCCTCTTCTTGTTCTATTTGTGAGTAATCTTGGGGGTGTGACTATTCCTTCAAGAGTGATTTGTAGAGAGGATTGTTTAGGTTTATCTTGTAAAGGGGTGAGATTTGAGAGAAACACCCTTATTCTT